GATTAAATCCTTAATGAAGAAGGAATAATAAATAATTAAAAAATTGTAATAATTGTAAACCAATAATAATAATTTATGTAAAAATAATATAATGATATCATAAACTAATATATCGTACAATGGTAAATTCGTGTTACAGTTTCCTTTGAACACGTGGTATTAAATGGCATGATATATAAATAATTAAAATGTAAGAATAAATACAATCTAAAATGTGGGGGAGAAAAAGAGGAGAAGAAGAGAGAAAGAGAAAGAGCGGGGGAGAAGAAATATGATTAATAATGAATAATTCTAAAAAAAACAATAATAATAATAAGTCCGTTAAATACCGTTAAAAAAATTTTTTTTTCTGAGATTTTCTAATAACAAAGGAATTATTATTTTTTGAATTAAATTTTAAGAATTTATTATTATTAATTAATTAATTAATTTAATGAAGGGACTTCTTTATCAATAAATTAATAAATTAAATTATATTATAAATATTTATTATTAAAATTAATTTAGTGATGAAATGTGCTACATTAAAATAACATTTCGTACCATCATTATTTATTATCGTTATCATATCATTATTTTCCTATTAGTCATTATTAAAATAGCCATTATTGAAATAGCCATTATTGAAATAGCCATTATTATTAATTTTCTTCAATGATATTAAGGAGTTTTTTTTTTGAAAAAGCAAGAAAGAGAAGATGAAACAAAATAGATCCTTAAACCCTTACATCATTATCATCACACTTCACTATACTTTATATTCTATATTTCGCTATACTTTTATACTCTATATACTTTATTATATTCTATTATACTCTATATACTTTATTATATTCTATTATACTTTATACTATTCTATATATTTATTGTTCGATAATTATGCGTCATTTATTTAGATAAGATAGATAATAGACTCAATGGCAATGATAATAATAAGCTATAAAATATATAAAATAAAAATAAAATAAACTCAACAATAACAACAAAATATGAGCTATAAACGTATACGTAAATAAATATGAAAATAGAAAAAAAAAAAATAGAAGAAATAAAAAAATAGAATTAAAGAAATTAACGTTTAAGGAGTCTTTAACTTGATTGATTGGTTCACCTCTATTATTTTTTATTTCCAAATTAATATGTTATTTTTTTTTCTTAAAGATAATCAAAAGAACATGCAACACATACATTCTCTTCTATCATTTTTCTATAAAAAATAAATAATTATAATTATTATCCGAACTTTTAATTTAATAAAAAAGAATTCTATTTTTGAACGTAATACCTAATCTATAAAAAAATTATAGTTATCGGATAAAAAAAACTTAAAATCACCTGAATAATCACTACAAGAAATAATATAATATAAATATAAATAAAAAAGAATTGAAGTCACATCCTAAATAAACAAAATAAAAATAAAAATAAAAATAATAATAAAAAATAAAAATAATAAAAATAACAATAAAAATAATAATAAAATAATTATTCAAAGAAAAATAAAGTAAATAAACTATTATAAATAGAATGTAACAGTTTAAATGTAACTGAATGTATGAAAATAAAATAAATGTAATAAATGTACGTGTCATATCATGCACTTCATGTACGTAGTATTTTGACTTGGTAGCAAATCAAAGCATTTCTTTGATTCTGATTGTAAAGAGCTTTGAATAGAAAATCCTTGATATTTTATTTCTTTATTTATTCTATTTGTTTGCCGAGAAAATAAAAATAAAAAAAAATAAAAAATAAAGAGTAAAAAATAAAAAATAAAAAATTAAGAATAAAAAAATAAAAATAAGAAATAAGAAATAAAAAATAAAATAAAAATAAAATAAAAATAAAATAAAAATAAAAAAAGGAATAAAATAAAAAGAAAGAGAAAGAGAAATAAACCAAAATAAACTAAAAGGAAAGCTTAGTATTAGATATACCGTTATACGAAACTATTAATAATGTTAACGAATTTTTATTAATTTTTTTTTTAAAAAAAAAAAAATAAAAAAAATTATTCGGTATAACGTAACAAAGATTTTGTTTCAACATAAAACGAATTGTTAAAAAAAAATTATTCAGTATAACGTAATGTTCATTAACCAAGAATTTTGTTTCAATATAAACGATATTGTTTAATTAAATTATTCGTTATAACACAAGATTTTGTTTCAGCATAAACGAATTTTTTGAAATTGTTCGTCGAACACAAAATTCTCATGTTCGTTCTACTTAATTTTTATTTTTATTTTTTTTTTTGACAATATGTAAAAATATAATAAAGTTAATCAACAACAACGAAATCATCACCATCGTGATATTATTACAACTATTTTAATGTTATTAATGCTACTAATATTATTGTAACAATGCAACACCTGCACTATGCAATAATAAAATACAGACATAAGAATTAATCAAAAAATAATTCTCGCTGGTTTAATTTATTATTGGTTTATGTAAAAAATAAAAGGGAGAATAAATAAATAAATGAATAAATGAATGAGTAAACAATAGTAAATAAAAATAAGTAATAATAAATAAATAAAAATTGTAAAAAAAAAAAAAAAATTAATTACATGAACAATTGTATAATTTTGTACGATTATTTGAAAAAAAAAAAAATCGAATATTTTGATTTGATTGTATGGTTTCAATTGAAAATTATATAATAAAAAAATAATTATAAGCGAGAATTATGATAAACCAAGCTAACTTTAATAATAATTTTAATTTCAATTTCAATAATAATTATGCGTTCTTATTAGAATTCTTTTATTTCGGATGCTTTCTATTTTCTAATATTTGATAATAATTTTTATGACAAATTATTAATGAAAAATTATTATTGACTAAATTATTATTATAACTAAAATTATTATTATGATGATTTACTAATTAGTATAAGGGATTATATAATAATACGATAAGGTTCCTTCTCGGGGAGAATGACGATGACGCAAGATTATTTATATTTACATGATATTTAATTTTTAAATAATTTTTAAATATATAATTTTATTTTTAATTTATTTTAATTTCCCCGTATGTACAAATTTAATATCGCGGATTACCAAGGACTAACATCACGGATTAACAAGAACTAACAGGATTAACATTGGACTAACAGGACTGACAGGATTCACATTTCTGAACTAACATGACTCACAAGACTCACATCGCGGACGAACGGGACCAACTTCGGTGTAAAAATTCTCCCCTGGAATTTTCTTTAATAATAAATGATCGTAGGATGGTTTAATATGTTAATAATAGATAATTAAAATTATAATAGATATAACATAAATAAAGAAAAAAAAAACGACAGTAATTGGTGTTATTTTATGTTCTAAAATTAAACATATAATAATTGCTAATTTAGAAATAAGTAATCAAGATGTATTATATTTTTATATTCATCACAACCACAACTAAAAATGCTGTACATTCGATAAATATAATGATTCCCAGCATAACAACAAACAAAACAAAACAAAAAAAAAATAATAATAAATAAAAATTAAAAAATATATAACAAGTGTGAACACAAAATAAATACAGAAATAGGTCATAAGAAAACGTAATTACTTGTCATTGTTAACAAAGTGGTCTGATGTATTTTTATATTATTGATACTGTATATATTTATATTATTCATACTATATGTGTGTGTTGTTGTTGATAGAGAAATCGAAAGGTTTTAATTCTAATTATAATTCATAATATTTATAATGTTGTGTTGATAGAGAAATCGAAAGGTTTTAATTCTAATGTTTATAGTTTAATCTTTTTTTTTCATTTTTTTTGTTATAAGAATTTTTTTTAATATTTTATAATATTTATATGTTATTTTATTTTTTATTTTTTTTTTTTTGATAAATTATAACGGAAAAATCTTATCTTTATTATTATCATCAAATTATTTATTTTTAAATCGTTGTCGCCTCTTGCTCCCAGTACTTTCTTATTTATTTACCTACTTATCTATTTACTCTTACTGCGTTCTTTATATACCCCAAACATTTTTAAAAATTGATAAAATTCCGATTGGTACATTATAACCGTGTGATGAAAAGTTTGAATTAATTAATTAAACTATAAATTTTGGAATACTATTTTTATATTCACCTAAAAGAAATTTAGAAAACAATTAAAAAACGTTAAAATAATAATATTAATAATAATTATAATAATTATCAATAATTAATGATTATTATTATTATTATTATTTGTTTATTATTATTTACTGCTCTATTTACTTTTAATATACTCAATACTCTATTTACTTTAATATGTACTTGTTTATTATTGATTATTATTATACATTATATATTTTAAAATATTTATACATTACAATTATAATTCATTTTATATATATTACAATTATGTATATTAGTTTGGTATAACATATAAAATTATTATGCTAATTACAATAAGTCAAATAATTTGTATAATTCGTATAAATAGGAGCAATCCAGAACCAACCGTTTTTCTTTTCAAAAAAAAAGTGAAAATATTTTTTCTCTTCTCGACTTCATAATCATCTTCTATCATCAATATCGTCACTATCATTACTATCATCACTACCATCAACTACCGTCATTTAATTACCACTATTAGAATTTAAACATCAAGTGATTGAAACATTAATTAATTAATTTTTAATTTACCAATATTACTACTAGATTAAATATATATTTATTATATATATATATATATAAACATACACGTATATATCTATCTATAAATATAAGTATAATATCTAATACTTTTTTCTTAATTTTTCCAAAAAATCCATTTTTTTTAAGTAAAACAATAATAAAATAACAAACTAACAATAAAACAACGAAATAATAACTGAATAACTGAATAACAATAAAACAACGAAATAATAACTGAATAACTGAATAACAATAAAACAACGAAATAATAACTGAATAACAATAAAACAACGAAATAATAACAAAATAAATAACCAACAAAAATTAGTAATAACAATAAAAATGCAAAATACACCGGAAGAAACAAAATCTGGTTGGTTAACAAAACTTGGAGGTAATGCTTTAAGGAAAACATGGAAACGTCGCTGGTTCGAATTGAGGGGTAATTTCTTGTATTATTATCGACAAAAGGTAAATATTTTTTATATTCCATTTAATTGTATTCTATATTATATTTTATTAATATTTTATTATATTTATTAATTTAAAATGTTATCATTATTATTATTTTTATTATTATTATTATTATTATTATTATTTCTAGAATGATAAAAAACCATCAGGAGTAATTAATCTTTCCACTTATAATTCAATAAGCCAAGATTCAACAATTACTAAAAAATCACCTAATTGTATAAGAATCGAAAAAGTAATTAGAGAATCTGATTTAACTTATTGTGGCAAATCAAATAATAATTCTTGTCGTAAAAATATCGCATCATCTTCATCCTCTTCTTCTTCCTCCCCCTCTTCTACTCCATCTCCTCCTTCATCATCATCATCATCTTCCTCTTCTTCATTAATATTAAAAAAATCTTCTACAATTTTAGCATTTGCTGATACAGAAACAGAAATGCAAGAATGGATAAATATCTTAGAAAAACATTTAAGTGGTAGAAATATAGTTGATATAGTATTGGATAGATTAGAATTATCAGGAATTCATCATCGACAAGCTAGTTATGGTTCTTTAAGTTCATTTTATTCAAAGAATAGTAGTAGTTTTTGTTCTTCGGGTGGTTCAACTTCTGGTTCCGCTTTATCTTCTCGAAGACCTTCTCTGGAATCCTTAAGTTTAGATACACCTTCTTTGAATTCTAGAAAAAGTTCAATTGAATCAGTTCATCAAAGCAGTTTACATAATTCATACAATTCACACAATTCATATAATTCACACAATTCATATAATTCATATAATTCATATAATTCATATAATTCATATAATTCATACAATTCATATAATTCATTTAACAATTTGAATAAAAATTCACTTAACAAAAATTCGCATCATTCATATAGTTTCGATAATTCATCAAATTTAGGATTAGGTCAACCAATTTTACGTAAACCAGCTTCATCATCAGCATTATTTGATCGAAAAAGTAATTTAAGTAATAATATTAATGACAATAATGATGATGATAATAATGATAATAATAACAAGAACAACAACAACGATAATAACAACAACAACAACAACAACAACAACAATAATAATAATAGAGTAAATAATAGAGGAAATAATGGACATCTACGTAATTTATCATTAAATATTTCCAAAGATCAAATAAAAGGTAATTCTCTTAATGCACCATTAATTATGGTACATCGTGATTCTAAAGTCACTTCTTCACCTGATGAAGTTTATTTTCCAAATAACAACAACAACAATAATAACAATAGCAATAACAACAATAGCAACAACATCAATAATAACAGCTACAATAGTAGAAATGTAAATACTTTTCATAACTCACTTTCCGTTTTAAACAAGAAAATAGACTCATCGAGGATTAAAATCAATTCTTCACCTATGACTCCCGTAACACCATTATCTAATGTATTTCCGAGTCATTTGGCGTGAATGATTTTATTTTATTTTTTTTAAAAGAAAAAAAAGAAGCAACAACTTGCATATACAAAAACAAAAACAAAAAAAAACAAAAAAAAAAAAACAAAAAACAAAAAACAAAAAATTATAAATACAAATATATATGGAGAAGAGAGAGAGATAAAATATAAATAGACATCATACAGTATAGATAATAAAAACTAAAGACATTTTAAATATAAATATATATATATATATAAATAAAATCAGAAATGGAATGATTAAAAGGTTATTTTTCTGGTTTATTATTATTATTGGTATATTAATATTATTTAGTATCATTTTATCATTTTAGTATCATTGGGTAGAAAATAATTTGTTATATATATATATACATAGGTATTTTAAAAAATTTATTGAGTTTATTTTGGAGTTTATTTTGTTAATTTAGTTTATTTAGTTTATTTGGTCCCATTTTATCCCTCCAATAGAATAATGCATATAATAGTTGTATAAAAGGTAGACGAATTTGACATTTGCCTATCTTTTCTTATCTTTTCTTATCTTTTCTTTATTAATCAATGGATAACACTACTACAAATACTACTAGTAATATTCTTGAATTTCTTCATATTTGTGAAAAATTAAAGGTGAATATAAAAAAGAATTTTTTTGATTATTTATAAAAATTAAAAATAATAATTATAAAATTAATTATTAAATTAATAATAATAAAATTAATAAAAATTAATAAAAAAAAAAAAAATTTTAAGAATTAAATTAATACATAATAAGAAATGATGGATAAATATATATTTCACAATTTTTTTGACAGAAAACAAAACGAACAGGATGGATATGTCATGATATTAAAAATCCTGAATCCATATCTGATCATATGCATCGTATGTCCATATTATCATTATTAGTTAAGGATTCATCATTAGATAGGAATAAGTATGTACAAATTTATATTATTATATATTTAAAAATATTTAATAATTAAGTTTTTTTTTAGATGCGTTAAAATGGCGGTTGTTCATGATTTGGCTGAAGCTTTGGTTGTATGTGCAATTTATTATTATTATTATTATTATTAATTATTATTTATTTTAATCTTAATCTTTCGATTGGATTTGATTTGATTTGATTTGACTTGACTTGATGATGAATAAAATAAATAATATTCTACATTTCATTTAGGGAGATATAACACCTTTTGAAGGAATAAGTAAAGAAGAAAAAAATCGTAGAGAATTTGTATTTATATTTCTTGATTTTTTGATTTATCTTTTTTTTTCAAATTTGATAATTCATTTATATGAATTATTTATTCATTATTTATTATTCATCACATTATTTCATCATTATTATATATTTTATTATTATTATTATATTATAGGAAGCAATGCGTCAAATGTGTATTAATTTACTTGAAAATTCTCCACAATCTCAAGAAATTTTTGCACTTTGGCAAGAATATGAAGATAATTCTACAAACGAAGCAAAATTCGTTAAAGATATTGATAAATTTGAAATGATTATTCAAGCTTATGAATATGAACTATGTAAGTACTTGGTTTGAAAAATAAAAATTTAATTTATCATTTATTTGTATATATTCGTGTATTTATTTGTATATTTTGTATTATAGCTGAAAATAAAGATCTTGAACAATTCTTTGAAATTACCAAAGGAAAATTTAATCATCCAGAAGTAAAATGTTGGGTTGAAGAATTATATTCAAAACGTAAAGTTTATAAGCAACAACAACGACAACAAATGAAATGAGATGAAAAAAGAAATTAGTTAAATTAAATAAATTAAGGAGTATTCTAATAAATGATAATAATAATATCTTAAATATCTAGTAATATCTAATTAATACAGAAAGAAGATATAATAAATTATTATTTCGATTTTTTTTTTTTTAATCAATGCTTTAATGAACTTTTAATGTTTAGGTCAAATTGTGACAATTAATTAATTAATAAAATCGTGTAACTTTTAAAAAATTTTGGTAAATCACCTGTTTTGCTATAAAAAGGCCAAATTTTTATAAATCATTCGATATAATCATTTAATAATGTCGAACAAAAAACAAGAAGAAAGACATCAAAGGTGAATGAAGATGTTCAAGAATCTACTTTTCTTTAGCTTTAACGTCAACTTCAATATTTAACTTTTAATATTTTATATATGCTATATATTCCTTCTATAGAATTCTTAGGGAATTATTAAAACAACCAGAGAATAAAAAATGTTTTGATTGTCCAACAAAGGTTTAAAAATTTTTAATGAAAAATTAATAAAAATGTCTTTATTAAATATTTTTATTCGGGATTGATGTCTCTTATAAAATTTGTTATTTATTTATTATTATTATTTTTTTTTTTGATAGGGACCTACTTATGTCAACTTATTAAATGATACATTCATTTGTGTAAAGTGTTCGGGTTTACAGTGAGTAATTAATTGATTCCTTATGATCTATTAATTCTTTGAAATTTAATCACAAATTCAATAATTCCGATAAATTCAATAATTTCGATAATTTTTAGCCGTGAACTTAATCATCGTGTCAAATCGATAACAGCTTCTGTTTTTACTCCTGCAGAGATCGAATCATTAAAAAATAGTGGAAATTCTGTAAGAACATACAGATATATTATTTTCTGAATATACAGTAGAACCTATCTATAAACATACGTGTATAAGTATAACCTGTCTTTAAGTATATAATTTTTCTGACCCAAGGTCACAAGAATTATATATAACATATATAAAGTCTCAACGTATACAAGCATAACCTAGGATTTTCTTGACTCGAGGGTATGCTTATAGACAGGTTCTACTGTATTTAAATAAAACTTTATTGAAGTAATAATTATTTACGATGTTCCTCTCTAGAAAGCTAAGCAAATATGGTTGGCGAAATATAAGCAGTCGGATTTTCCTGAACCTGACGCTGATGACATAGATGCTATTCGAAGTTTTATGCGTGTGAAATATATTCAAAAGAGATGGTTAGATGAATCCTTGTTACAAATTCAACCCTGGAAAAATCCCAACAATGAAAATTTAACGGTATGTTGAATATCAAGAATGTTATAATTCAATAAACGTATCTAATAACTTTTTTTTTTTTTATTATTATTTAAAAATGAATAGAACAAGGGTACTTTTTTAATCAATCTTAATCACAGATCAAGTAATTTCAGTGACAATTCTTCAAATAGTTCATCATTAAGTCGTCATTCTAGCTTGGCAGATGTTCGTTCAACAACCACAAGTGAAAGAAGGCAATCTTCAATCAGCGATATTTCATCAGATTATTCAATTAATATTAGTCCTCTTAAGGTAATAAAATATCTCAATTTTATTTTATATATATATATATTGTAATTTGCTATTTTGTTTATAATTATTCTATTTATTCTAATTCATTATCTTAATTAAGTCTGCTCCCGAGAACAATTCAAACAATTTTTCAAATGATTCTAATATCCTAGCATTACCAAAGCCAAATGTTAATCCTTTTAATATTAATTTATCCAATCAAATACCATCTAATACAAATTCCGAGTTTAACACTGTGAAAACAAATAATAAAAATAATACAAATAATACAAATGATCTGGATGATTTCTTTTCTTCATTAAGTATTTCATCGACACAAACATTACAACCTACACGACCTGTACAACAACAACAACTCCAGCAACAACAAATACCAAGAAATAATATATATCCATCATTAAATAACACATCTACTTCAATCACTCAACAGCATGTTCCAACAACATTTACTCATAATGCGCATAATAAACCCAATCAGGCTTTACCACCACAATTTAACCCTTTAACTTCAAAACCTCAACAATATCAAAATCCCACTCAAATTCAACAATTTTCTACTTCAATAAATTCTCCTCCTCAGTTTGGTCAACAGGGACAACCTATAACATATTCTAATCAATCCCAACAACCTCAACAATTTCAAAATGCGAGAAAACCAGATTTATTTACCGATATTTTTGAAAATGGTCAATTTACATCAAAGAATTTGCTAAATGTCATGCCAACAACGCACACCAACCTTAACACCAACTTTAACACCAACCTTAACACCAATCCTAACAATAATGTAAAACAATAATTCATTTTATTTATCTAATTAATTAATTGTTTGAAATTTATTAATCTTAGGAAAATTATTTTAAATTTATAGATGAATAATACACAACGTACGGTTAACGCTTCTAAACCTTTAAATCCTTTTGATCACGTTCATCAAGGTTCATTAAATTCTATTTCAAGTATTTCAAATATTTCAAGTGAAAAGAATTAATTTATTTTAACTAAAAAATTTTTTTCTAAATTCATAATTTATAAATTCAGATATTTCTTCAACAAAGATGGCTCCACAACCACCAAAACAAGTTTCCTCACCTGATCCTTATGAAGTTTTTAGAACCTTAAATTTAAATGATTCTGATATGTCTTTAAGTACGAATTTTTTTTTTCCTTTGTAAATTATTTCTTTTATTATTATTATTAGATAACTCATTAATTTAATTAATTTGATTAAAAATATTCAAATATTAAATTATAGCTTCATCTCGACCATCAACAACTAGTAGCCCTGCGTATTCTCTATCTCCTTCGTATCATTCTTCTCCAGTTTCACAAGTTTCACAGGCAAAACATTCGGCTTCTAATATAAATGACATTTTTGGAGATCTTACACCGTCAACAATAACGTCCACAGAAAAATTTCATAATTTATCTTCACAAAATTTGAATAATGATATCTTCAGTGATTTTCAATCAGCCCCAAATGCAAGTGAAACTCCTTATAATAATAATAATAATAATTCATTAAATATAGCAGTAAACCAACAAAAATCATTAAGTCAACCAGATTTCTTTACTTCTCAATTTTCCCATTTCTCCAGTAATGACGATTTTAATGATTTTTCAAAATTTGTACAAAAACCTTCTCGTTCTGAAAAATTTAATAATTCTTCTAGTGGAATTTTCTCTACTAATATTTCGTCACCTAATTTAACATCTCCTCAAAAGGATTTGTTTGAAAATTTCTCCAATTTACAATCTTCACAACCTAGATCCATTAATGATAGTGTTAATAATCTTAACAATCTTAATAATCGAAATAATAATCTTAACAATCAAAATGGAGGTAATAACTTCTTGAATAATAATAATAATAATAACAGTACAAGAAACAATATGTTACATTCAATGGATCCATTTAATTTAAATTCATTTTCACATGTTCCTACTACATCTTCACAATCTGCTAAAGGATTAGGTCACGAGAAAAAGATATCATTTGATTCTGCATTTAATGATTTAGATCCTTTAAAATGGTGATAAATTTAGGATGAAACATTCTTGTAACATTAAAAATTCATTTTCGATTATCACCTTTTGTACATTAATAAATGTAATTTTATATCATACGTTTTATGTAATTCAAATACCAAATTCGGGGGGAAGGGGACTTTTTTTTTTCTTTCTTTCTACTTTTTAGTTTACAAAATAAAATAAAAAAAGTAAAAGTTAAATACCAAAAAACAATAAAGAGACATTATCCGATTCACATGACATGTAAATGACATTATTATCATTTTTTTGTATAATAGTGCTTGAAAAGTATTAAATAAAATTCTCTGTTTTTCATGTTTATTTTTACATTACAATTTCACGTTTATGAATGTACATGCAAGATAATCATGGGTAAAACGTATTTATTGCGTTATTCACTAATTCGGAAATAATTTCATTGTTCCTAAAAATAGACTCTCACCAATTAGGTAAAAATGTACATTCTTGATGCCTCTGTGGCTTGATAAAAAAAAAGATCACCAATTTGGAAGAATTAAAAAAAAAAAAAATAAATTATGCATAAAAAAGAAAATTAATTTAATTAACTGGATAAAATGGACAACACGCAGTAAATAATTTAATTTGCATATACTGCGACATAATGTTACATTATGTTGCAAATATGGAAATTCATTGTTTTAATATTTTACATATTAATTAATTTCATTAAATTGATTGGAAATTGGAAATTCATATTGTAAATAGATTGACGTCATTTTAGTAATTCTTAGTAATTTTAGTATTTTAGACTTATTATAATATTCTTCTGGAGATTAATTGAATATATTTTATATACGTTTATCAAAGAATGATTATTAAAGAATAAATGACATTATCATATTTAATTGCTGATTAATCGAAATATCAAATATAGTAATAATACTTATAAAACTTTAAATTATTGGTCCATTTCTTTTATGGGAAACGGGAACGAAAAGAAATTAAGAATGGAGCCTCCATTCAAATCTTCTTTTTTGGACCAAAAGAAATAATGAAGAAGAATTGATAATCAAATTTTCCTTTTGATATTGTTTAAATTTGAACCAATATCCTTTGATTAAAAAAAATACAAAAAAATAAAATATTTTTTTTTTTGAAAATATCCAGAGAAATTCTGTCACGAATCAATTAATCAGATACAGTATGCATGACATTTTTTTTTGTAATTTCGCTTGAGAACGAATTATTCATTCTTATGATTCAAAATGAATCTTTTTCTGTTATTATATTTATTTTTTTTTGCACTTATCCAAATGTTTTAAGAACGAGTCAAACAAAGAGTAACCAAAAGACAAAGAAAGATTGTATTATTTGATGTTTGAAACTTTGTTGAAAAATTAATCCGTGATTTTTGTACATAAATTACCAGGTATTCAAGAAAATGCACAATTTGACCTAAAAAGTAAATAGATAACTTAAACTGATCACCAATGCAATTCACATTATGATATTATGCAATTTTAATTAATTAATTTTATTATGACTGTTTTAAGAGTTTTATAACTATTAATAGGATTAATTCTATAAAAGAAGAAAAAACTATGGAGAGATAATCCAAATAGAAAAAACTTAAAGAACAATTCTTTAATTTTTTTTTTTTTAGACGGGTTTTCTGTTGAACAGATTACAATTTTAATAATAAAAGAACAAATGTGATAGCTTGTGGATTTTATGATTCGTTCCCTTATTTTCATAGATTATGTAAAGAAAAAAAATAATGAATAATAAAAATAAGAATAAATTTTTATTTTTAATAATAATAAATTTTTATTTTTAATAATAAATTTTTATTTTGCTTTTTTTACGGGTCATTGTGAGTCACAAGTTCATTATTATGCATATCACAATTCATTCAACAAAAATAAAAACGGAAATTGATTATTTTTGTCATCTTCAGTGATTTAAAAAGACGTTTCCAACTCCGAATTAACACTTTTTTTTTTTTTTTTTTGAACGGTGAAAAACGGTTACCAAAATTTATTACTATGAAAAATTTTTAAAATATTTCATTCTTTTTTTTCTAGAAAAATATTATTTTTTTGCCAGACAGAAAACTTTATTGTAAAAAGAAAAATCTTCGGCATTATTTACAAAATTTATGAAACTCAACGTACATAAAAAGACAAATTACTTTGTATAAATTTAGATTAACACTAAACATGTGTATTTAAAACAATGCTTTTGTGAAAATTACTTTTTAAGAAATTGAGTAGACGTTCTAGATATTCTTTTGAAATGTTCTAAATAGCCACTTGTAACCAAATATGAAACCAATCAAGTGTGTGGCGACATTCTTTTTTTTCCAAAATGGACAATTTGCCACTGGATGACCTGAAATTGTATCAACATCTTTTTCTCTGCGCAGTAATGAAATAAATATAAATAAACCTAAAAATAAGACAGACTTACTTAAAAATTTCTTATTTTTTTTTTCCTTGCCAATAAATTCTTTCCAAATTCTATATTAAAAAATATATGCTATTTTGAAAAAGATCCAAAGTCTTCAAATTACGTCCTGCTTTATTATCACTTGACAAGTTTTAAACTTTAAAATTTTTTCTTGTTCTTTTTCGTTAAAGAAAATCGCTATCCAGTATTAATTATCGGCAATTTCTTTGGCTTTGAAAGCCGTGAAATACAATTTAATTTCCATTCTTGTTTTTATCTTCGTCGTTCACGAGCGTATCCATTGTTTTTATTGTATTCTTTGTTATTAGCGCATACACAGTACAAATTTTTATGAGGTTTATCCTTTTTATATAACACGTATTGACACATAAATAAAACTTTTTAAATAACAAAATGTCTTTATCAAAGTTACCAAATGTTCCCTCTGAAGCACCTCAAGTGAGTCGACGACCTCGGGGTAGAATTAATAAAAGAGCCTGCGAAAAATGTCGCCAATTAAAGATACGGTGTGATGGCGACGCACAAGAAGGTAGTGTCTGCAGCAATTGTGATAAAGGTAGTTGTGTCTACGACCAGTCTCCACGTAAAAATCGCCAGGTTGAGAAATTGAAGACTCAAGTCAACGATCTGGAATCAAATATAAAACAAATCTCAAATAATTTCGAAAATCAAAATTTCCAACTTGAAGTATTAAGAATGGAAAAAAAAATCTTGTCTCTATTGATTAATTGTCAAACTTATTTTTACGAAGCGCAATCAACTTTTAGCCAATTGGTGCAATGTATGGAAGAGAGCAGATGTCTATCCATTTTTTTACCTATAATAAGAGATTTACTTTTGTTAATATCAAACGAGAATCAAGGCATCATCATTAGCTGTTTGAAGATGATCGCTGAAAGTACTTTACGTTGTTGTGAACAAGATTCTTCATTAGGGAGCGAGTATCCCGAAGAATGGACAAAAGAAATATTAAATTTTGTAGCAAACAATAACCTTTCCGTATCTGTGACCAACAACGCCACAAATAATCTTTCTGTTGTTAGTAACACCACAAATAATCTCTCTGTTGTTAATAACAACACAAATAATCTCTCTGTTGTCAACAACACCACAAATAATCTCTCTGTTGTCAACAACACCACAAATAATCTCTCTGTTATCAACAACACCACAAATAACCTCTCTGTTGTCAATAACAGCACCAATACCCTTTCCATACCCACTACCAATAACGCTACCACAAATCTAAGAATGATTTCAAGAGCAGTTTCTCCGTCAGATTCAATGTCTACTATTGTTTCATCATCAAGTCCAATAGTTGATGGTGATGGATTAGAAATTAATAATATTAATATGCTTGAATTTCATAATGGTCAGGTTCCATTACCATCATCTTCCTTCATACAACATACCGATCCTTATTATCCAATCGATAATATCAACAATGATTCTAATCATTCAAATAATTCAAATAACTCTTCTGAAAATGTCGACTATGCTTCTTTTCTTAATTTAGATCCAAATAGTGGTAGTTGGCAGTTATAAATTAAAAAAAAAAAATTACAAACTCAAAGCATTTTAACTACTCTCTTCATTACATTATGTTTAAAACAAAAGATTTTTTTTAATACTATAGTAATAAGACAAATTATCGTTAGAAAAAAGGATTTAGGATATTTAATAATTTTCTTCGTTATATTTCGATTAAAATTTCTTCCATTATATAATATAATACGTATTTAATTAGGGATTTTTTAGGTGGATTTGATATATTTTTATCTTTTTTGATAAAAATGGACAATGGTACAATGGATTATTATATATATTCTTTCTTGGCATTTTTTTCTTTCATTATTATTATTTTTTCGCATAATTTATCGGCATTTTCTCTATTCTATCGTTATTAGTGAATATATTTTATCCCCACTAAATTATTATTTTTTTTTTCGTTTATTTCGCATGTTTTTTGTATATATTTACGTATATTTTTCGACTTTCAAATTTTGGCAAACAAATGTTTTTCGTATTCGTCATTTGGCAAGTTAAATTTTAATAAAAAAGTTATTGACGCGCTTATACTATTTGTACCAATTTTTGCTTTTTTTTTGTTAAAACAATGATTTAAATTCAACATTTAAGAACAGCAAATCGTATAAAAAATTTGGTTTGACGATTAAAAATTCAAAATTCAAAATTCCAAACCTGGATAATATTTATAGCAGAAATCTTCTTCAATACGAGAAATTGACCTTATAAAAATTCTGGAAGAAATAATACAACTGGTTCTCATGAAAAGAAATGAAATAGGTAAATTTTATATTATTTAAAATTTTTTGAAACTATTAATAAAATAAAGAAATTTTTGAATATGAAATGGACTCATCTCAAACTACCGAATAATTAACTTCCTCTTTTGGGGCAGAAGTTTCTGATTTAAATAACTTCATTTGGTAGGGTAGCATAAGCTAAAGATGATATCTTTTATTATTTTTACAAGTTTTTAATTTTAAATGAAATTTATTTCAAACTTTTGTGTAACAATGAAGTGTCGAAATTTCCATTCAAGATATTTAATTTGTAAATTTCATTTATAAATAAAAGTGCGTAATTATTAAAAATAACAATAATAAAATAATAAGCAAATACCAAAAACATTACACTTAAAGCTAAGAATAATTTATATCTACTGAAAAGTTTTAGACCTTATAATTAAGGTAACTATTTATTTAAATTTAAATATTTAAAAATTTAATAATGAAGTTTAAACAATTATTATTTCTCAACTCTTATTTAATATATTCAAAGTTTGAAAAATAAATATACTTTATTTCTATCTTTAAGTTTACTTAGTATCATTTTTGATATTTTATTAATAAAAATAAAATTTACTATATTATAACATTCATAAATTACTTCTTCTTTTTATTTTTTAATTATTTAAGTTACTAACAATTATTTCTGATTTTTATTTTTTAATTATTTAAATTTCTAACTTTCCAAATGATAACATGATTATTTTAGAAGATCATAAACAAGATTTAAAACCTAACTATAAAGTAAAGAATAATATAGATATTTTCCAATTTTCTGAACCCTATCTTTTTTGAAAATTGCTTTATTTTCATTTTTAAGGTACCAGTTACAAGAAAGAATACTTTATTATTTAATTTCCTTATGTATCCAATTAAAAATAATAAAAGTTATGCTATTCAACTATTAATCAATATTATTTGTATTGTAAATAGATTCTATAACTGAAATTGTAATATCTGTTCTATTATAATTTACAGTGACTATATTATATTTTGAATTATTTGATAATGTCTACAATTTTTTTACAGCAATAGTTTCAAATTTTCTTCTTAAATATTTTCAAAAAAATGAAATTTATTTGTTATGTAACTGTTCTATTATAATTTACAGTGACTATATTATATTTTGAATTATTTGATAATGTCTACAATTTTTTTACAACAATAGTTTCAAATTTTCTTCCCTAAATATTTTCAAAAAAATGAAATTTATTTGTTATGTAATATATAATTAAAATAATAAATTTTTGATCAATATGAACAGATCTAAGATCAACTATATTATTAATTAATGGGATATTATATGTTAAATCATCAATACTTGATATATATATCTTTTTTTAGAAGATACTGTTTTCAACTCAGGAATCATCAGTTTTTTTTTAAATCTAAATAGATAAAATTATATCTTTTTAAAATATTTCTTTTAAGAAAATATTTATCAAATTAAACAGTATCTACATTTTGAATGTAATAATATCTATTGTAATTCAGTGATTCACTTTTAGATCAGATTTGTTATTTAGTGTCATTATTACTACTGCTTACTGTGTTTAGCAATATAAAGTAAAAATTATTACAAATGATTAACAATCTGCCTCATTTTATAATACAATATAATTTTAATGATAACATGTATCTTGTCAATATCTTGTAATAATATTATTTAGATTTTCTGTTATTAACTTATTTAAAATTTCTAAAAGGTAGTTACAATCATTTTCTTCTGACTGTATGTCACTGTGTCATGGAAAACTCTAGAAGTAACAATCTTATCGAGTGATTTATTTCATAAAAAATCTTTTGAGGAACATTGTAGAAAGTGGTTATAATCTACCTAGATTATAAAAATTTGTGTTACCTACCCATTGGTTTCTAATTGTCGCGGGGTGTAACAAAAGTGATAAAGCAAAAAAAAAAAACCAAGGATTGAATTCAATTTTCAATTTCTCTCTAAACTGCTGTACAAAGTTGACATTAAAAAAAAAAAAAAAAAAAACTCTCATACGTTTTTACTTTTACTAATATTTGACAATAAAAAAAAATGGTTCACCATCGCCCAAAAGCGTTAACTCCATCTGCGGCTAGAACCGCTGAACTTATGGAAGCTCGTGCGAATTTTCGTACAACTTTTGAAGAAAGTCTTGGCTGTAAGTTTTAACTTAAAATTTTCATTAAATTATTTTATTTTATTTATTGAATATTTTGAATATATATATATATATATTTTCTGTTTCACCTAGGGTTCAATTCCGTAAAGCTAGAAGAAGGAGTTTATTTTCAAGCTCCGGATAACATTTCCGCGGCGGATTCTTTATATCAAAAATTTCAAAATGTATTAAAAGAGATTATTGATTCGGAACCTGAATTGGCAGCAACAGTAAAATCGGGGGAAAAAGAGTTAGAAGTTTTGGAGGATCATCAGAAGGTGTTATGTAATTTTAAAATTTTTCCTCAAAGAATTAAGGATAACCAGAAATGAAATATGAATTTAATTTATTTATTATATTTCTAACATCTTTATATATAATATTTTATAGGTTAAAGATCTTCTCGGGCCTCCACCCGAAATAAAATATGATGTTTTAGAGTCATCTTGAAATAAACAATTATTTTACCTTTCATTCATTATTAAAAATCATTGTGTGATTTATTCAAGTAATATGAAAGCACAATGATCTTAATTTAAATTTAATTTAATTAATCACAAATTTAAATTTCATTTACACCTGTAAAAATTAGAAAATTAGTTACCTATCTTGTCTATTTTTCTTCTTTTGATCTGTGATCAGTAATATTTTGCAACAATTTGATACTTATACAATCTTATACACTCTTATACATTCTCATTTAACTTCTAAAATAAATTATTTTTTTTTATTAAATTAAATAAAGTTTTTTCTAATTGATCTAAAAATAAAAATAAAAGATTATAATAAAAAATATCATCCTGTGATATTTTCTTCAATTTTATAATTTAATAATTTTTAGACACATGACATATATGACTAAGTCTTGTCATATGACATATTATATTAAAAATTCCTATTAGACTATTATAATTATTATAATTATGTATATTAACTGTTATTTTAACTGTATAGGCAAAATATAATATATTATTTTAATTAAAAAACTGTACAAATTTTTTAAGGAGCGCGAATGTTTGTCTGAATAAGACAATTTTAATTCTAATAAAGATTCAAAATCTAAAAAAATTGAATTTTTCAAAAAAAATTTTTCATTGTTCATTCTCTGGACACATTTTTCTAGGTATTTCGATTAATAATAATTAATCACAAAAACCGAACTTGTCAATATATATAATAATTTATTGTCATAATTTAGCTCTTCCAAGAATTGCATCTCTCAACGGTTCTAATCGAAATTTGATCTCTTTCATCGCTTTTGTTACAGGTTCCCACTGTTCGTATTGTTTTCTTAATTTATTAATTTCATGTTTAAATTTATGATTTTCTGTGACTCCTTTATCTTCTAAAATTCCACGCATTGCCCAGGGTAGATAGTATGGATTATTTTTTTGTTGTGCTTGAAACCTTTGAAGACTTAGATTACGTCTATTCAATTGTGATGTTTCAAAGAGATATCTTACTGCCAGTCTAAATCCCCCAAAAAAATATAATATATATAAATATAAATATAAAAATTAAAAATAAAATTAAATAAATTTTCAATATATAAATTTCAAGTACTCACGTATAAACATCAATTTCCGTGTATAGGGCTGAATGACCTTCTCCAGTCATCGAACCTGCAATCACTTCACTTAATTGGACCAATAAGCCGTGATCCAATATACCGACGTTCCGTAATCGTATAGCAAATACAATTAAATTTGTTAAAAAATCATTTTCTTGATATAATGGTCCATCAATGTAAATTGCACGCATAATTGATGGATGATTAACTCCTGTAAATATTCCAGAATATAACTAAAAAAAAAAAATAATAAAATTGAAATTATTATATAAGCAAATTATATTTAATAAAATATTAAATTATATTAATTATATTGATTAAATTAAATTAATTCTTACTGGCACCACTTGATCATCCATAGATGCGACGTATACTATTTTCACCCCATTTTGAATTACTGTATCAAGTGCTTTCCTATATTTTTTGGAGACTTCACTCTCAGAATCCATAAATTCAAATAACTCTCTGGCTGCATCTGAATCGGGACTTCGTCCAGTTCCAACAAAGAATTTTAGAATCAAATGATCTTTTAGATAAGGAAAAGGGCCATGTGATATACCTGCCATTGCCAACATACATATACGTTGCCTTTTTACATTTATGAGAGATTCTTTAATTAATCGAGAAATTAAAATTGTGCTAACGGGTGTTCCTTGAGAGTGCGTTGCAACAAATATAACATCTGCAGAAAATAATGCCTCACACCAACTTTTATTCTTCATTAAATTACTATGCAATAATTCCTCTCGAGTATCTATTGTGCCTTCCCCTTCAAGTGGTATACATGTGATCGCATCACTTGAAAGTGAAATATTATGTTGAGAAAGATATCCCAACAAAGCTTTAGCCATCATATCACAAAATTTAGGTGATGTACCTGTTGGTTCACCAACGACGGCTCTCAAAAATCTCGCAGGAAACCATCCGTGTACACCAATAATTGCAATACGTCTTACATCGACAGTAGATCGAGTCATTTCATCGAGCCATTTAGGGAAAGTGCCTTCTATACTCTTATCTGGTGGAAAGAGATAAGAATTTATAGCGTGAAGGACCTGTTGAACTGGTGAATTGGGAAGATTCCGTGGCCTGCTTTTTATGAATTCATCAAAGATCGGCAATACAACGTTAACTGGTACAGGTTTTGATATTGGCAAAGTAAATGATGTCGGCGGTGATTCTATAACGGGCTGTTTTTTTTCCTCTACAGTAATTACTTTCGTTTGAATTATCGTATTAGTTAAACTCTCATTGTTTGAAGTAGATGAAGTGGAAGGATTTTGTTTTCCATCAGTAATCATTTTAACTTCTGATACCCTTTCTATTTTGGCATTTTGCGAATTACTTGGTGGTCCGTTCGTAAAGAAATACAACCACGATGACCTATTATCACCAAGTGATTGAACTAATGGATTTGGTTGACGCTTGCTTTTTGAACGAGGAGAATTCGGTGGGGAATTTTCTGATTTTGTTGAATTTTTTGTTGAATTTTTTGTTGAATCTTTTGTTGAATCCTTTGTTGAATCTTTTGTTGAATCTTTTGTTGAATCTTTTGTTGAATGTGGTGGTGATATTTTACCTTTTGAGGAAGTAAATGATGATGTTCCATCTTTTGAGGAAGTGGATGATGATGATGATGGCGAGGAAGATAACGAAGGTGATGATAGTAAAGAAGTGTTTGAATTTGTTGACGTAGTCTCATTAGCATTCTTGTTGTTTTCACCGTCAGGATTTTCTAACAGATTACTTGTTGAAGATGACCATGTGTTAAACAATGACCATCGCCTTATTTCCGATGATGGTTTCCTTGTAACAGATTTTACAGTCTTAGACTTTTGTTTTTCTCCATCTGATATTGGTGATGATATATTATTATTATTATTATTATTATTATTATTATTATTATTATTATTATTATTATTATTATTATTATTATTATTATTATTTAAATCACCGTTGACAATTTCTTCATTTGATTTTGCAACATTCTCAATATTTGTAATTTTTTTAATTTCTTTCATTTCTGGGTTTTGTATTGCATCAGTTTTAACCACCTCACGTGTAACGATATTGTGATTACTATTGTTATTACCACCACCAAACATCCACCAAGAATTCCGGTTTGAAGATGAATTTGAAGATAGAGAAGAATGAGATGATGATAAAGTATCCAATTCCGGACCAAATCTATTTGAATTTATTGTAGTCATAGAAGAAACCGAGGACTTCTTTTTAATTCTCTCTCTTGAACTTGATCGTACCATTTCTACCGATTGATGTAATTGTTTATTTTCGCACCCTGTTTCTTTGATGGGAGATAAACCATGACCTTTTTTGTTGTTATAAGTTGGAGTATTGGGTCTTGAAATATGATTAACCTTTTGTTTATCTTCAACAATTCCATTTATAGAGGTATCAGCAAGATGAGTATTAACAGGCGGAGTACGACCGTTCGACGACCACCAACTCCAAGAGGAGGAAGATTTGTTTTTTGGTTCTTCGTATACTCTAATATAACCGCTATTTTGATTTTTTGGTATTGGTATTGCGTTAGAAGTCGGACTATTATTTTGAAGTTCTTCTACTAAAGTTGAAGAGGTTGAGCAAGCCTCCGAAATATCAGAAGCCGCTTCACTTTTGACACTCACTGAGCCAGGTTGTTCGATTGTGGAAGTGTTATCTTTTGAAGATACGAAAATATTTTTTGTTGAGATATTTTTATTGGAGAAGGTTGAAGTTTGTGGTTGTTGATGTTGTTGTTGTTGTTGTTTAATAGTTTCAGAATCAATATCTTTCGACTTTTTAGTAGTGTCAAAATCACCTTCAGAGTTGAAAGATTCATAGGAGTCAGTTGAAATGAAATTCCACCATGAAGAACGAGACATAATTTTTGAAAGAAAAAAATAATAAAATTAGGGAAAACCCGATGATGAATGAGCAAATAAATAATTATAAGATTTTTGGTGGAAAGAAGGAAGAAGAAAGAAGAAAGAAGAAGAAAGAAGAAAGAAGGAATGAGATTCGATTAAATTTTCTTTTTTTTAAAATGATGTTTATTTACATTTATTAAAAAGTATTGGCAGTTTATTTATTGACTACAGTAAAAATCATATTTATATTAAAAAAAAAAAAGTCACTGCAGTAAAGTTTATAGATATTACAATATTTACAACATTTTACAATATTTACAGTATTATAAGTATTATAATGATTACATATTATTGTAATAATTATTTATTTTTAATATTATTTATTTATTTATTTAGACAAGGCAGCGGAAAATAAAATAAAGCATCACGTTGGTAAGTCATCATATTCATTATTTGATTCTTTGCATGTATGGTTTTAAAATTAAAAAAAGCTTACAATCAATTTATTGGCCAATTACCTAAAATAAGTAAGATTTTTTGGGGAACGAGATTTTTTTTTTGGGGGAATAAATATCATATGAGTATTTTCAATAGGAGTGTGAATTACACATTGGAATACAATATAAATAACACTAATTATGGGAAAGATTAAAATAATATGATGAGAATTTCAACTCTCTAAATAAAGAAGTTGGTTTGCACTATCTGACATAATTTTATAATTTTATAATTTTATAGTTTAGCAATTAACTGGCGAGAAACAACTTTTGAAAGAATAAGAAAAAAATAATAATAGATTTACAATTATAATTTCCGCAAACAAAAATATATTTTATAATATAATATATTTTATTTTATACAATATTTTATATTTTTAATATTGTATTATTTCTTAACCTATCAAAATATCATAAATATAATAAAATACCTTCCTCATAAAACTATTCGTTCATCCCGTTCACCTCAGTCATAATTACACAAATCGAATTTTCTCCCTATCCGCAGTGATTGAATCGAAAAAAACCAATTCAATTCAATCTAGTCCTCATTCTATATATTCTATATGTTGCGCAAAAATGTGATTCTTGGCTTTTTACATTTTAAATTTGGAACTTTGGTAAAAAAAAAAAAAAAAAATTCGAATCGCTTTGGAAAAAAAGAATGAGGCAACCAGGTGAATTTCATGGCTTACGTGAAATGATAGTAGTACTACAACACTACAACTTCTTGATATTCATAATAAAAGGAGTAATTTTGACTAAACAAATAAACAAGGCTTTTCCAATTTCTACATTAATAGTTTTTTTTTTTTTTTTTTTTGCACGACATGATTTTAAATGTTTAGTGAGATTTTTTTTCTAGACTTGACATTTGTTTATTTCTACTGTTGTGAACCCTGAATTATTCGTTATTATTCATTTCGATTGCTTGCTTGCACCTGATAATCTTGACCCAAGTTGCGCAGTTTATCCGGTACACGGGAAGATTTTTATTGGGTACACACGATAGATCTTTCGTTTTGATTAAAAAAAGGGAAATACTTAAACATATTTAAACATATTTAAATATACTTAAACATACTTAAACATATTTAATCATATTTAAAGAATTTGCATTCTTTATTATGTCATAATAATAGAATAGCTAAGCATAAATAGAGTCCCGAGAGTACGGTGAAAATCATCCATTATTTAAAAAAAAAATATCTAAATTATTTTTTAATTAATTAATAATAAAATATTATAACAATAAAGCATTATCGTTATTGTTAGAATGATTAATGATACCCCTTTGCTGCATTAGTATGGATGATCAAATTGTTCAGATGATAGGATGATTATGATAGGATGATGATAGGATGATGATGATAGGATGATGATAGGATGATGAGATGATTACGGGGGGATAAAACGCACGCGACGCGTCAACGAACTCTTTGATATTTAAAGATTAAGAAATCCGAAATGACGCGCAATATAGATATTTATAAAGATTTAATTCGAACTCTAAACCTAACGAAAGATGAAACTCGAATTAAAAAGAAAGCAGCTGAAATCTCAAATCAAATTGATTCAAAGATTGGAAATGTTACAGTTTTAAAGAATTGGTCGATTTGTAAACCTATTTATTCTATTCAAATTTCATGTGAAATGTAATGTCATTTTTTGAAAAGCTATGTTTTTTGTACGTTTAATGTTTAATTTGATAACTTATGTCAACTAAGAACGTTATTTAATGGTTTAATGGTAATAGATTACGCATTAAATTTGATCGGAAAAACTTCATTATGTTAGCAAATACCAAAGAACAAGATTATTATTCATCACTCTCATATATTAAAAAAATTCTTGGGATTTCTTCATCAATAACGTTCGATTCTTTAGCCTCGAGATTTGGATGCCCGAGAATTATTCCGTATGTGGAAAATATGCTAGAAATTTTCAAAAAAGAATGGTGTAAAGACTTAAGCGCAGCTGGTAAACGAGGAATAAATTGGAATGATGATATTTATAAAGTTGCAGTATTTTGGTGTTGCAGTAAAATTGTAGGGGTAAATATCATTTTATTATTATTTCAACTCTTTTATCTCTTTTATCTCTTTATCTCTTTTTATCTCTTTTATCTCTTTTATCTCTTATATTTTTTATCTCTTATGTAATTATTTATTTTAAAGGGGCAAGGTCGGATTAATCAAGAAGAATTAATTAGTTCACCAGATTTTTCTACATCTCATCTCGAATTTCAACGTACTACGAAATTTGTGGAAAAATATTGTAAATCATATATTAATGATCTTAAATCCAAAATCAAAAAAGGGGAACTTAATATTGTATTCATAAAGTCATATTCTTCAAAGCGAAAAAACATTGAAGAAGAAAATATCAAAATAAGTAAAAAAATAAGAGAAACATCCGATGATGAATCACCTAAAAGTACAAAGACTATTAATGGAATAAGGGTAAATATTATTCAATATTATTATTATTATTATTCCCAATATTATTATTATTTATATTATTATACAATATTATTATTAATATTTAATAATAATATTATCGTTATTATTATTCATTATTATTATTATTATTATTATTATTATTATTATTATTATTATTATTATTATTATTATTATTATTATTATT